TTTTTCGAGATAGTATGTGAGTTTGAGTTAACAAGTTGTTGCTGTATACACAGCTGCTGACTGACACTCTCAGGGTGTGCGTCTACATAAATACCTCACAAAGTGTATGAGGGGAGGGGATGACCGCTGCCATAACTCGGTAAGAGCATTGGTTGCAGGAATGATCCTTGCTGATGGCAGACTGTTGTTGAATTACAGTGGGGCAGTAGGAGCAGCCGACAGACTCTGTGAGTGATCACTCGACTCGGGCGTAGAGCAACACCTCCAAATCCGTGATTAGAACACAATCCGCGCTGCCAGAGCAATTCTGGGGAGCAAGGTAGAAGCGTAGGTCCTTGAGTCGCCCAGAATACCTTCTGTGGGGTATTCCGTCCCGCTATTTTCACTGTTGAATTCTTTGTACAGAGTTGTTGGCTGTCACTCTGTGACGAATTAATTTGCCCAGTTGGTTTGTCGTCCACCATTACTGCTAAAACACGTGACAGTGGCGGCACCCCCAAACAGGCGAACGGTCATTCGCACTGTGGGCAAAAACCCTGTCCCATCATTGTCACGGGAGTACAGCAAGCCGAGTTCCGCTCCTCTCTGCAGATTTTGGTGGAGCAACTTTTCCTGCTCCTCGGAGTCACTCCCATTCTGAATTCACTCCAATTCTTACATTGGAACCCTTGACTCCCGCCCTCGCTCTGCCATTGGAACACACTTGCCCCTAAAGGAGAAAAAAACTTGCTCCGACTGCGTCATTGGAATTCGACATGCTTTTGGTCTACTTTACAGTGTAGCCCGGTTATAACAAAGCTGGTGGGAATAAGACATTATTTTGCTATAACCACTTTTTCGCTATATCCGGACTTTAATAAAAAGTTCAGACAATATGCAGACCGAGTAAAAAATTTTATTTATACCCCCTGAAAAAAGTGGTCAAGGCTCCCCTGGACGCATTTCGCGAGCAGGCGTTTCAGAACCCTGGCCTCAACACTGTCCATCTGAGCGCAATCCTCTGGTTTGGAACTCAAATACTGCATCGACAGCTGCGACAGCTACTCCAGTGGTCAAGACTGAGGTGCAGCAATGTCATCGCCTTCGGGGCCTGAGGAACTGACATTGGCGATTGTTTCCTTTTTCGAGACACTAGTGGCGAGTTTGTCAGTGGTGAACTCCGCAGTTGCGACGAGGTCTTTATCCACGAGAGTGAATTCCATATAATCCAACTGGCTTGGAACAAAGCTTGCATTGCCAGCGGCCTCCTAAAGCTGCCCTAAGCTTGTCACAGCCGCGGCACCAGCTGCTGCTGTTTCTTCTCCGGCAGCGCTGCTTCTCCACGTAAAACCCACTTTTTGGAAGCATTGAAGGATCGTCCGAGACTTTATGTCCCTCCAGTATGGCCTTCACCAGTGGCACCTTCAAGTCAGCTGAGTTATCAGCTGTTCGGATGTTGATGAGAAGACACTCAACGACACGGCAGCTATAGTGGACTTTGAAGTTTGTGATCACTCTCTGGTTCATTAGCTACATCATGGCAGTTGCAATGGGAAGCAGGAAAAGGACCTTGACAGGGCTTAGATGTGCATTGACATGGCGTGCACTGCAGTTGTCGAGCAGAAGCAGCACTTTGTGCTTCTTCGAGCTCATTTTCTTGCCATAGTCAGTGAGCCACTTACGGAAGATGTTCCCCGTCATTTATGTTTTGGTGTTGTGTGTGTACGCTTCTGGCATTGACAGCACCTTGCAAAGCCCCGCAGTTTCTTTATGCTTGTTGACGACCAGTAAGGGGTCACTTGTCTGTGCCAGCCATGTTCACGTACATCAACTTCGTGATGTGGTTTTCGCTGTTTTTTCTTCCCATGCATTTATCAGTCTTTGTCACGAGAATTTTCGCTGGCAGTAACTGAAAAAGCATCCCCGTTTCATCAGTGTTGTAGATATCTCTCTTGATGTATGTGTCAAGAATGCAGCACCTATGCTTCTCCATTCAACACTGGAGACGGTCCTCGTCAAGGAATGCAGCTTCACCAACAGTGTTTTTGTACGTGATGTCATAGCCGTCTCTGAATTGCTGCAACCATCCGTTGCCTGGATTAAAGTTATCATGGCCGAGAACAAGCTCGAGACTATCGGCCTGCGCAAGCAGGATTGGCCCATTGAGAGGGACGTTCTTTGCGCGAGCATCTACAAATTATTTTTAGAGTGCCGATTTAACATTGCCGCAAATGGCAGTGCGGATCTGCTTCTGCTCACCACTGCCAACGTCGTCCTCCAAATCAGCATCAAAATTGCCGTCATTCTTTATGATCATCGCTAAAGTGGACCGGGCGACACCATAGTACTTCTGCCCAATGTCACTCTTCTCGATTTTTTTGTGAACTTCATCCAAAATGGCACGTTTCACATTGAGGGAGAGCACCTTTCGGTTGGTCGGGGATTAGGTTGACGTTCCAGGTATCAGGGGACTAGACATTGTCAATGAGTTCATTGGTGCACAAGGCAGGCGAAGCTGTTAGCGTGGGAAGGTCCAAGTGAGCAGTGATGACCAGCTTTTCATCAGTGAACACAGCTGAGCAAGCGTGCGAGTGCTTCTGCTGTCCGAACTGTACTGCTTTGTTTGTGTACACGAACCACGCCAACCACGCAAACAAGCATGACAGGCTTAGGCGGGCGTCACTGTAAATGCCATGCCATGGAAAAAGAGCAATTTAGGAGCACACCTACTTCGCTTTTAAACCACGATGTGGCAGCCCAATTGGGCTGGCGTGGCCCCATGGAGTTTCCTAAAGTTTTCTAAACTAGAGGGGACTCTAGCTCTGCAATCTTTCAGCGACCATGGGAATTACAGTATTTACTAGTGTAATCCTCGCATTCGCATAACTTTTGCACCTCCCACATCTCCTGACAAAAATACGATTTCTTTCTTTTCCTCGAGTAATTATCACACCCCGAAAATTGCCGCAATAATGTCATCTGCTCGTTCTAGCCACTGATAATGATAGTGTGTGCCGTCTGGTACCATCTCCTAAACATAGAGCGTACTATTATTGCTCCGAGATTCAATCCAATCCATTAGAAGCCAAAGTGGCAAGTGCGCGTTGCGGCGGGATTTGTATGTTATGTCTGTAATTTGTTACGTTATGGGGCGATATGGAACCTACACGGTTGCTTTCAAGTTGAAAGTGATTGATCATGCACTAAACAGCGGTAACAGGGCCGCCAGTAGGCCCTTCGGAGTAGACGAGTTTTGTGTTCGCTACTGGAGATGGCAGCTGAAAGCCACCAAGACATGTTGGGCCTTCCATGTGCCTAAGACTGGGATTGATGGTAAACTTTATTTCTTCAGAAGGCAACTGCAGACGATTTCGTTAAATGGCCATCAGCCCAATATTGACGTCTCGCTTACCTTTTGAGGGCTCCTGTTGAGTGACAAACGCTACCACTACGCCCGCAACGCCCATAAGCACTCTAATTCTCGACTATTTGCTTGCACTTTTTGTGTCTCAAATAAATCTTGCCTTGTGTTGAACCTGCGCTTTTATTGTTTAGGTAAATTTTAATTAGTACTTCTCAAAGCTTGATGTTAATTGCTGGTGTGAGAATTCCAATTTGTGGTCACTTCATTTTCTTTTTTGCTCTGTACGTTTTCGTGGAAAATTTTTTCCGCTTAATTCTTGCACACCCCAATTTTGCATCTGTTTTCCGCCAAAAAAAGTGCGAGGATTATGCGAGTAAGTACGTTATAAGTATGACATCGATTTGCCTAGTCTTTGTGCTTGCGAGCGGGGAATGCACTTGTGGCTTCGTTTATTGCTGTGTTTTGTTTTTGTTTTAAAGGAAAGAACAAATCGTTTTTGGTTTTGTGACCCGATTTGAAGTGGTAAGCCTAAAAAATTAAGGTGGTGAAGCGTAACTGGTGCACATTTGTGAATTGTTGTTTTGTGACAAAGCAGCTTCAAGTCACGTGAAGCCAGAACGTAAAAACGTAAAGTACGAAGTCTAGGCAAATCCATGTCATACCCACAATTCCCATGCTTGCTGAAGCGTCATACGTTGCAGCTCCCATAGACACTAGCGCCAGAGTTCCCTTTAGTGTATATTTACGAAACGTTATGCATGGCCTCATGGATGGCCAAATGCTCAAAGCGTGGGGCGGCGTTCTTGTGAAGCAAGCCAGGGAATGTAGTATGCAGTGTGACAATGTAAAATACCAGCAACCTTTTACCCTGCAGTCGGCCGGCCTGGCACTGGAAAAAAGAATAGAAAGCGTTCGCTTGTTTTGGCGACGACCGCCGGGTGACCATGTGATGCAGTGAAGCAAGTCTTTGCAAAGAACTGAGCAAAAGGGAAAATGATACTGGGGAAACTGCTGGAAGTCAAGAATTAGGGGTTTTTTTACCGTTTTCACTCGCGCCAAAGCTCAAAAGAATGTTTGATGGCATTTTCTTTCTATTTCTTGAAAAAACGCTGTGCTATATTCGCTGAGGTAGGTTTATATACTTCGTTTAGACTGGACTTAAAAGACATCGAAAATGCTGAAATTAGAACGGGAAGTCAATATGGCTTCAATATAACTGCTATTTCACTGTTAGTGGGTTCATTATAGATGGGCTACTCTGTACTTCAATTGCATCTATATCAGATTTACTAGAATACACTTGAAACAGTGCACTTAATGCCCCAATACTTTCCTTGCCTTCATTGTCTGCTGCTTTCTGTTAATGTTATATCGAACAAACAAGCCTCAACATTTTTTTTGGTCACATATTTTTATTGTGATACAAATGAATAAGTCATTTTTTTTAATTTTCGTTTAATTCACACTGTACATCCAGTGTGTAAGTCTTGTACTATATATACTGCTTCAGACTGCTCTACAATCCCTATAATTAAGGTAGATCACCACGTGTAGAACCTGCTGCCTTTCTTTTCAACCTGATGACAGAACCAATCAGCCATTTCAGGGCGCTCACTGCTGTGATGGGGTGCTCCACCATCAATGTGTGTGTTTGAAGGTTTGCTCGGTGCATCTGCGACTGGGCTCTCCTCCATCGTCCGAGCCGTCCACCGGTCTGACGCTGGCCTGGAACTGGGAATGGCCTCCAAGCAACAGCTCAAACAATGGTGGTGCCAGGCGGGGCCTGGCGTGGGACCCGATCCCTCACAAGCCCTTTGGCCACGGGGAGGAAGTCGCGTTTCACCAACTGCCACAGGTGGCCTCCACTAGGTTAGGGCACAGTGATGTATATGATTTCCAGTGGCGAATCGAGAAGTGACGGGCATACCCATAAACCGTTCAGGTGCTTTGTCCACATATGTGGATGAAACTTGCTCTTTGCCATTTCATTCGAGTGCATTAGATGAATTGAACTTCCCGTATGTTCACTGTTTTTACGTAACATCGGTGCGCTGCATACTACTGTGACCGATCTCTTTGGTGACGTTGGTCCTGAATGCGGCATGCTGAACGACCCATCAAATGTTGTATGCTGTTCAACGGATGTTCATTGTGCCATGTTCAGAACCAAGACCAAAAGTATAATTTTTCTTTGCTCAAAATGACTTCAACCAATAACAGACGGTGTATACATTTTGAGTCAGGGGTATGGTTATTTTTATGTATAAAAGCAAACATGCCCGGCTGCATACTAATTAGATATTTATTTATGAATAATTATTGAAACATGCACATAACAACATATTACGTACCTTCTTTTATTTCTTAGAGTGTAATATTGAGCGACTTGGAAACGTGTTGTGTGCATTCGACACAATTGCAGGTAGTCTAGCACAAATTCATAATTTGTGCCTTGAAGGGTTAAACTGAACACATGATTGATTGATTAATTGATTGATTTGTTGGGTTCAGCATCCCAAAACCACCATATGATTATGAGTAGTGGAGGGCTACGGAAACTTCAACCACCTGGGGTTTTTTAAAGTGCACCCAAATCTGAGCACACGGGCCTACAGCATTTCCACCTCCATTGAAAATGCAGCTGCCGCAGCCGGGATACGATCCCGCGACCTGCGGGTCAGCAGCCGTGTACCTCAGCCTTTAGACAACCACGGTGGGGCTTAAACTGAATAGAGACACTGGCTTTATTATAAAGAAGTGTTCTGACATGCCTCAATTTCTTTCTTATTATAAAAGAACCAAGTGACACTTTGAGCACGATAAGAACTTCATGAGTAACTATCAGACAATAATGCCAGGAAAGTATAGCGGATGGTATTAGAAGTAATTGTAATGTATATGTGAAGAAAGAGAAGTGGACAAAAAGATGACTTGCCGCCGGCAGGATCCAAACCTGCGACCTTCAAATAAGGCGTCCGATGTTCTACTGCTGAGCTTTGACGGCGCTTATCCCCGCGCACACTTTGTTGGGTATATATGTCTATTTAGACAAGGGAGCATCAGTCAGCACCACCTGTTGCCATGGCAGCGAGTGGCAACATAATCTCGTGCATAGGCATGCGTAGGCATGCATAGTCCCATATGCTACTTCATTTTAATGCCCGTAATGCCCCACCTTTTGGCTAAGCGTTAGGGGCTAATGGCTTAGGCTTAACGGTGACACCGTGAAAGGGGGCAACTTGCAGAGCCACAAACGTGACAGCACGCTCTTACAAACGAAGACGTCTTTTGAGAGAGGTGACGTCCTGTGCTTGTTGTTGGTGACAGGATTCACCAGAGGCGTCCCCAAGTGTCCTTGTTGCTGGATCACAAGCCACCGGTGCTTCTACACGAGTTCTACCAGCTGGCCATCACCATTGTGAGCGAGGAGGTTGCACCGCTCACCGACGTCTGCCTCAGCATCGGTCTGGTCGACGACCTTGACCCCAAGTACTACAGCACCAGTGAGTGGCCATTACAACATACCTGAACAGGAATTTAGGAGCCATGGCAGGGTCACTCAGAAATCTGTGGTTTACAGCGGGAAATAAAGGTGGAGGATCCATTGCGTCTCTACATAAATGAAAAGTAGACTGCGCAAGAGTATTTCGGGGCTAAACGAGCTTTAGAAGTTTCTGGCTATAAACCCCTCCCACCACTGGCGACCGGCATTTAGCCATGGTGTCTGTGATGTCATCTGCTACATGGAGTGAAGACGATGCCTTCTACCGAATTTTCAGCCGCTGAAATTTGTTCAATTTCAGTGCCAAGCTAAAAGAAAAAAAAATCTGGATGTCAAGCACCGCTCACCATGGAACGATATCGTTCGCCGGAATGCAAACACTCGCACAGCAAGCTGTCTGTTCTGTCACGGCTAACAAGTTCGCCAATGTTGCACGGCTCTCAGGCTGTTTGCAAGTTTATAAAAATATTTAATTATAAATTAAGGGAACAGGGTAAGCCTTACTTGCCATATACTTTAGGTGATGTTTATATAGCTTTTTTTTTCATAACCACAAAACCTTCAGTAATTATTTCACTATCATTGTGATCATGAGCCATTTCACCTCTTACTGCAGCAGATTTAGCACTGAAAATTGTAATGCTAATTTGTTATAAATTTGTTACTTCAGGTGTTTAATTATCACTTGATAATTACTATTATATATCGTGTTGCATAAGAGCACTTCCTCACACAATAATAATAATGCTTCAGCATAATCTCTATTACGTTATCTAAATACTGGCCGGAATCTGCAATTCTAGATACTGTGGTTACTGAGAAAAAAAAACAAAAGTACAAAAGAAAACATGTTTCAAGATAATCACATTTAAAGTTAAAAATCTGTATTACTTCAAAAGTACAACGAGATAACAGCAAATTTACAGAGTCGTTCAATCGTTACCAGCCAGATACGCATCATAAATATAGTTTTTTCTTGTTGTGTTGAAACGTCTTGCCCGGTGAGCCAAATTTGTCGCCTGCTATGCGGTCGTATCAGCTCGGTACTGTCAATGCAGTTCAGGGGTGCATAGGCCCGTAAGCCCTGCACTGTGCAGTGCCCTGGTGAAATTCCAACATGGTTCAGCACATACGCATAGACAATACGGCTATCATTAAAAGTGAACAAAACATCTAGAGTGCACATTTACAGGGTCTGGTGCCCGAGGAAAACATTTCTTTTTGGATTTGGAGCGTGCCCCCGCACAACAATCCAACAACTAGGGTTCTAAGTTTTCTCTTGGAGAAATTTAGCAATTAAACCTGGATGAGCTAGTTTCAGATGATTTGGCTTAACAGCCTCAATAACAGATGCTGGAATGTGTTCTTTATGAACGAATGATTCATCACTTAACTGGGCTGAATTTGTTGAATTTACATGAGGCTTTGGCATTCTTTAAGCAAGCGCTGTGGGATCGGTTGATATCCTTTGATGCCATTTGAAGATATGTGAACCGCACAGCTTTTTGCATGCCCTCCAAGCTGGCTCTATTTCTTCTAATGGCCCAACTATAATAGTTTTGGCGCTTGCCGATGATGACACCACTAAAACATCCCCGACCTGATAGAAATTTTCTGATTTTCTGAGACAGCTTGATGCCTCTGCATTCTTTTGTTTTCGCAGCTCTGGACCCATTCTTTTCTGAATGTGCCAGATGCATTCTAGCTTGCAAGCTGTAACTTCTCCCTACGGCTATTATGCTTGGAACTGCAAGGAAACCCCTGCATAAGAATGGGGGCATGGCGTTGGACAAGTTTTAAATTGTGACATTTTTTAGAAAAAAAAAATTGTACTAAGACAAACAAATGACTGATCTGGGTTGAAAAAAGGCTGCAGATTTCAAATAACGCAAAAAAATGGTTTCTTTAATAGTTTTGCTTACCCTATCCCTTAAGTGCTGAATCAAATGTAATTAAGCTTCACCAGCTTATTTGTGAATCCACAAGTATTAATCTGCATTACACAGATTGTCATAAAAAATTGCATGTCACAGGCCCTTTTAGATGAGCAGCATTGTGCAGGGGATGTTGCAGAAGAAAGAACACAATGACGCATGTAGAGCACAAACTACAACACCTTACTAGTGAGAGTGAATGAACCCTTCTATACATTTTCCCAACAATGCACATTGCAGCCATACAATTTAGCAGCATTCAGTTCATTAAAGCACTGCAAATCCAAAGAAAACATTACTGTACACATGGTGACTCAACAACATTGCAGATGGAAGCAGTGCAAATTCGTTCCATGAAAACATCACCATACGTGTGCTGTGTCATTCAGACATACTACTTTTTTCTGAAATAAAGTGACAACTGTGCTAACACACAGCTCATATAGACTATGGAGCCTCGTGGCGCACGTGTTTCGCACATAGGCTGCATTTTGGGTTCACAACTACCGAGTGGTAGATGGCGTTCTGCTCGCGAGGGTTTATCACCACCATCATCATCATGGTTAGAATGGTGGCGCCGGCGGTGCGCCTGGCGGCAAACGTTGATGGCGGGATAAGAGAGATGAGCGGTGCTCTAGGGCGCGTGGCGGTTGGCGCGAACGGTTGTCTCTTTGGTGGGTCTTTGGTAGACGGCTCTGCGGACCGTCTGCCATGGGCCCTCGTGGTAATTCAAGTGTTGGTGAAGCTGCCTTGGAGTGTGTTCTTGTGTTTGTTATGTTTTCTGAATGTCGTGTAATATTGTGTAACTTTGTTATAGTGTGTTGATCACGATATGGATATTAATTTGGCCGGCGGTATCGGTGTTTTAAAGGTACTTAAATAAATGAGTTGTTTGGTTTGTTCCGACCGCGTCTACTGTGCCCGTTCACTTCAAGAGCGTGGCGCTCTCCACTTCGAGACCCCACAAGACTTAAAGTAATGTGGGGGCGTGATGGTGTGGGTCACCATCTTGTATCCTTTGTTCCGTTCCCTATGCATGACACCACTATAGTAGACTCTCAGTAAATGTAACCCGAAGGGCTCGGAAAAACATGTTTCATTTAACAGGAATTTCGTTTACTGAGAGGTGAACGAGGGTGCAGAATACAAGACTAAAACCAAACATAGCAGAGTCATTTGCTCCATTTAAGTAGTTCTGTTTAACAGATTTTCGTTTATTGAGAGTCTACTGTACTCGTCTTAATGCAGAATGAACAAGCTCAAGTAGAAAGCTGCTTGGCATGGAACAAGTATATTCTATTAAAATTAGTATATGCTATATGTATTATACTAACTATACGTATGAATTGTAGCATAAAAATAAATACTGCAATTTTATAAATAAATATTACCATACTTCTGACGTGTGAAACCACTTGCAAAACCTGTGCAAAACTTATTTTTATGCATTTGTGCAAATTATCTTGTTATTTTGTGCACCATATTCACCCTGCTCACAGTTCATGCCGGCATTATTTTGTAAATAAATTAATAAATAAAAAGCGCTCCAAAATTTTGTTGATAAAATGTAAAGGTTGTTGTAACAGCAGCAGTGACGTTTATAAACCTCCAGAAATTTTTCATTTGTGGTGCAAGGTAATGTGGCCTGCTTGAAAACTTCCAATATTTACAATGAGGCCAGGACAGTGGAAGATGTGTCTGAAGCAGCTGCTGCTTGGCGTTTAAACTACAGCGAACCCTAACAAATTAATGTGTCTGAACCAATGGGCTTAGTACTGTGTGCTTAAAAATACCAACAGAGCTCGAAGCCCACTAGGAAATGTGGAGCAGTAGTTCGACATGGAAATCTTTTTAGACATTTTGATCGGCAAAATATGCAGCTAACGTCAAAAAGGAGGTAGGAAAAACACATTACCTACCCTAGTGTTGCACTTGGCTACTGCTGTGTCTGTGATGATTGAACTTGCTGCTTTACATTGCCTTTGTCGTCATGCAATGAAATCTTTTCTGTGTCGGCAGCCCACTTCACATGTGAGCCGACGCCCACAGTGCCAAAGCAACCATCCAACAAGATCAGAGGATTTCAAATCGAAGATATTCCGGCTGGGGGTAGGGTGAGTTGCATCATTGGTCACTTGCCCGAGAGGACACTGCTCTGAGGTATGCCCTGCAGTGACCTCGATATAGCAGGCACTTCTCTTGCATTGTTTATACGCATGCAATGTTAATGCACAGGCCACTGTTACTAGAATAAACTCAGCTCCAATGCTCTGCATCTGTGCCAGCAAAGCAGGGTGGGTTGAACGGCACCCGCAAGTACTAGCGGCGGCTGCGGCGCCGAAGTCAGAGCTTGCGCTACTCTAACCGCATCGTCTGCTATGGCAGAGTACCACGCTGGTCTACTTGGCTGTTTTTTGCAGTGACTTTCTTGTTGTACTATTATAAAACTTAAACATTCATCATTCTCATTTGTGGACTGCTTAGGTGAATGCGCACAAGTTCAACTGTATAGAGTGATCCGGATGCGTTGCTCATTGCAAGTTTGCCAAGAAATGATGTCCTGCCTATGTTTGAGCTCTCTGCATTGCGTTTAACCTACAAGGGGAAAAGATCAAGGTGAATGAGCATTTTCAGCATAGTTTTTATGACATTCTCTACCATTTTAATTACAGCTGTCTTGCGTAGATGAGAAGTGACCCAAAATGTCTGTAAAAGCCTCAAACAATTTGACTTACTGTAATACGAAAAACGCTCTAGAAAAACAGTACTCGTGTTGGCAACTAGTTACAAAAAAGACATTCTTGAAAAACAGTACCCATGCTTTACACTGTTCACCATACAAGTCTTCACGGTGACTATCAATCGAGAACAGAGTGCACAATGTTACAGCAACTTCACCTTCTTTCTTGCATTTTCCACCCCTTCAAAAAGCTCCTGATTGTTTTTTTTTTGTAAAAAGGATATTCTCATCACAATATGAAACATCACTACTCTAGCCATCACATTATAATCATGAACGATGCAACTTAAAAGATGCAGTGGCATCCACTCCAACTTTTCAAGCACAATCTAAAAGAGGTCATCGACTGTGGTGTTTTTGTTAAAGTCCTCTTGACAGCTTTCTCAGTTGTTTTTAATGTAGAAAGGAGGATGATGTTAAGCAGCCTTCTTGAAAACACCTCATCTGAGTGAGTTCACTTTCGTGTGGTTTGGGCGCGGCTGCTGCATGTGTACTTGTGAGAGATGCTAGGCTCTCTTTGCACGTTGTCACTCGTTCATTTTTTTTGCGAATATACCCACGAATGTAGTACACTCATCGTGTGTTACTTACTGGTGGACTATGCTGCACTGGGAAGAAGTGACACCACATGTGCAACACCCCGTTACCTGCTATAAGGCTCAGAAATGAGAACACTGCAATTGAGAAAAATATGTACTGCTGTAATTTGAAGCAAATGTAACAAAACATGGTCACTGGTAAGAGACGGCCACTTATATACAATTGTGTTGGTTAATAATGGAAATACTTATACCGTATTTACTCGCCTAATGAATGCACTTCTTTTCTTTGAAGATCGGAGCATAGTTGGGGGTGCATTTATTATGCGAAACAAATTTTATGAAAACTTTTTCAGGGGAGCGAGAAATGCGGTAATCTTAAAAAAAGTTAGATCGCTTAGCTTTTCACTATTGACATACGCGTAGACTGTTTGGAAACAGCTTCTTTGTTGCACTTTACTCATCATTGATGGTTAATGGCGCTATCTTCTGCAAGCTGTCCCTGCGCCACCCGCTCCCGCCATAAAAGCATTTTGCGGCCATCTTTCCTTGCAATCGTTTAACTGCAACAGTGGTATGTGCTGTGATCTCGATGGGCGCCCGAAGGCGTCCGCTACTATGCCACGACGCACTTTGCAAACTTTATGGCAACCTCGCATGACGATCGTGACGACACTGTTTACGTTGTAGCAAGTAGCCAAAATTGCAGCAAGCTACCCCCGAAGCATCACAACAAACTGTCGATAACAAGATTAATGACGCAATATGGCGGCTGCTCACTTCCATATGAGAAGTTCTTGTACGTTCGGAGAACAAGCGAAGTGAGAATCGAGGGTGCTACTATGCTGCAGAAGTCGTGACGATCTTTTCTGGGCAACAAGCAATTTTTTCTGGTTTTCCAGAATTCTGCGACGCGATAGCGACAAATGACCCTTCACGACAGCAAATCCTGTCATCACTGCTCAAAAATCATGTGCACGTCCCTGGGCCTTAAAGTTTCGTATTTGCAGGTAGCGATCGTTGGTTGACGCTGGCATATTCTTGACCTTTGCTGGCTGTGTGCTTATTAGCTACGATGTCTCTACACTTGCACCATTCGTGAACCCTGCTGTGGCGCACAGATAAAAAAGACTGGGATGGGGCATGCACCGATAGAAAGACAAACAATGTGGCACATGGCAATGGGCAGGAGTAGGGGGAGAGTGCAAGTCAAGGTGTCCGAAGAGTTGGCATAGTAATGAAAAAAACCCGGAAGAGATCTAACGGGTGAGGAGGCGCCAGATGTCGGTTAGCGGGACTGCAGAGGATGCATGTAGGGGGTGGGTTTATTACGCGGGGGAAAAGATCTCCAAATTTTGATGGCTGAATTTGGGGGTGCGTTTATTATATGAGTGCGTTCATTACGCCGGTAAATACGATAGTAAAGCAAGAAAATTCATTGTCTTTAAGGCAGCGCAACAGTCGTCAACTCTTAGAATGTCAATGTAATGCAACTCTGCATATCGAGAGCGTTGTTTATCACATGCTTTTCGTTTTGCTGTTCTATTTCTGGCGGCCCCTTCAAACTGGGCATTGCGAAGTCGAGGGGCGCCATGAGTTTTGGGGAGCATTGGTGCCTTGGTTATGGACATTTTGGCTTTGATATGTGGGGTGGAATTGCTGAAAGCAAGTGGGGAAGGGCGCCGGGCGCGAGCCTCAACTTTCCGCATGAAATTAAAGCTTCTTGTCCAGTAAAGCATGACTGTAGTGCATCACGATGTCGTCATTCTCAAATTGAACCTCATAGACTTTGTGTTTGGCAGTGAGCTTTCTATCTTTGCGATACAAGGTTTGCTCGCACCTTTTGAGCTGTGTTGAATTTTTTCGGATGTCTGTCACGGAACAATAATTGGTTTATACTCCTATCAAGGACAAATTCTGGCATGCAAATGATTCACTTCGCCATGGCGGATTTGAAACCTCGACTATAGTAACATGGTCTCAACTTGTTTCACTCCTCCGGTCACTCTCTTGGCTTATTTTTGTTAGAGGTTTCAGTGTGTAGCTTGATTGACTGAATACCTTTCAGTGAGTAGCTTGATCATTCTCTGAAATTACGTACGTCGGATAAATGACTGTCTCTTAACCTATGCTTATTTTTATGCTTTGTATATCGTTTCAACTCGATAGCGTTAAGGAGCCCGTTTCGCAGAAATTCTAATATTGGCGTCTCCGGTTTTAAGTGAAAAGACATTTTGTCCATGACCAAAAAACTCGAGAAAGCTGCCAATAAAATAAATTATAAAAACTTCAGTACGAGTGAGAATTAATCTCGGGCTGTCTGCGTGGCAATCAGGGGTTCTACCATAGAGACACGCCAATGGTTGAAACTGATTCGAAAGAAAAACTGTGATGTGGTAGACGTTCTTATTAATATTGTGTGTAACAAAAAATAAAAGGAGGCCTTATGTTTGCACTTCTTTCCTTCATGTAGAAGAAGAAATCTCTTTAACGCATGCAATATTGGGTGGTAGAAGCGTAGAATCGCGCCAGGGCACAAAAACATGTGAAATGCCCTTCGTGTGGGTGTTAGAAAGGCTCAGCCACTACAGAGCGAAACAAAACAAGTTATGTTTGCATGTTGCCTTGTGCACGTGCAGATTACCCCTCGCTGATTCGCAAAAGAAACAAATATGGCGTAGTTTGCATTTAACAATTGCACTAGCAGTAGACATTCTACGATGGTTCAAAACAGACAGTGTTGCACGCACAGTCATTCATTTTCTCACGGCAGGGTTGAGGCAAGCACTGAGACCGACGCTAGGCTAATAATTCAGAAGGTGATTCGCATGGAACCCAACTACGCTATCACATTCTACTCTTGAAGGCCAAGCTCAAGCGTTCTCCAAGTTTGGTAATGCAGTTAAACCGCTTTATTAAAGGCATGCTCCGGGCAGCAATTCTTGTCTTTTATTCTAGACCTCTCTTATAAGCAGGGTACTACATATGCATTTTCCTATCAATCTGTATTTCACTGTTGGCACACTGGTGTCTCTTATACCCATTTTTCTCTTATATCAGTGTCTCTTAAAAGGGTTCCACTGTAGTTGTGTTTGTACGTGTTGTGGTATTGTTGTCACACAATATATATAATACTCAGTGACGGCGCCTATGCCATATCAGCCAAATGCTGCCGCATGTAATAATAATAATGGAATGAAATGATCATTTTTATTTGCACGACAATATGAACTCTCGGGTAAGGTGGAAAGTTAGACAGGAAGTTTCCTTACGATCATTCATCTACTAGCCCATCACTGCAGGGGGAAACAGACCAGGGGCTATAAATATAAGTTTCTCAAGCTGTTTATTGCAGCTTTTACCTTGGCCCGTGCTACTGAGTAACCATGTTTACAATTAAAATAAATAAAATAAGCAAACAAGTTGTGTGAAGCGAAGTTGTCATTGCGGTCGCTGTTGTTGGAGCCCGGCGCAAAGCAAGTCGCCGTACCTCACTGCAGATAAATCTGCTCCTCCTCGCTACGCTTCATACATGACAAACGCGTTCTCATACTGGAAATTACGCAATACCAAAAACAGTACCGAGACGTGACGTGTGAGTACAGTAGAGCATTTGCGGTAATCGCTCACACGTCGCTGCCTCTGATCACAACATGCGCCGGCCATGAAAGCAAAATCTGACTACAGCGCCACTAGTTCTCGCTACCCCCATTGAATCTCTGAATTACCGTTAAATTTTGAATTACCATTTAATTTCGGTTCAGGAGTGTTATAGCCACCACGCAATGTAGTATGTGAGCCTGTTTTTTGAGCATTATCCGCATTCTAAAGCCGATTTTTTTTTGTCCCTGCAGAAAAAGCAGACTGTTTTGCTGAGGAACTCTGAAGTTGGAACACGCAGGGTTTTCGTCAAGGTGAGCAGTGGATTCAGTTGAAGGGCACCTGTATCACTTTTTCAAGTGCTCGTCAAATTGCCCCAGATTGGAGTCTATTGCCTCACGAATAGATTAGCACAAAAATTTCTCCAATCCATCAAGAGCAAGCAGGGTTACTGGAATTTGTCGTTTTCCCTCTTCTGTCATCCCGACGAGCACGCTGTAACCTACGCAGGGAGGGATGGCACAGCGTAAAGAAGTTATAGCACATGGTTCATTATTGTGTGACTTTTGTTGAGGCATTTTTTATGTTGTGTAATAGTTCAATAATGCAGTAACTGAGTTCAATAATGCAGTATTTATAAAATTCACTTTAGGGCCAAGTATGTTTCCTTGTGTTGTAGGGGCATTTCAAAATGATTATAGGCGCTATTTTGTGGTACTTTCAATTAAACGATTTAGTGCAAAGGAGGAAATACGGTAAATAGTGCAGCAAACCTTATGTCATCGGTTTCATTGATTTGTGGTTAACCACTATTTTTTTGTTTTGATACATATTTGGTTGGAGTTACATGGAACACCCTACATGTGTACCTGAGCAAGCAGCCCATGAACAAATGTCTCGACTACCATGCAGGTGGAGTACAAGACGGAGGTAGAGGTGGACGGCCGTGTTCTGTGCTGCACCTGCTGCCGCGAGATCTTACTCGACCTGGAGTGCATTGAGCCATTCACTTTCTCAGCTAGGCTGCTCAACCTCAAGGTTCGCCTCAGGCACTCGAACATTATTCATTCCATGTCACAAAATGCAAAATAGAGAGAGTAAACTATTATGCATATTTATAAACTTCAGTAAACACATGATGTATAAACAAAAATGAAGTCTCAGTCAAACTGTTATATATTAAGCACATGTGTACAAAACTGCTCTTCAAGTTGAAATAGAAAAGATAAAAATTATTTATTTACTATGTATGTTCAAATGCTTTCCTCTACAAATATAATGAATCTAAAAGAACAAAAGATATGTACCATAAAATATGTATGTATAATGTAAAATTTAACGGAGGTTTGCCAATGAAACACTTTTTGACCATGTTGGCGTGGTGCTTGACGACTACCTCAAAGGTCACGTGTTCGAATCCTAACCGCGGCATTTCGATGGAGGTGAATATGCTTCAGGACCATGCGCTTAGAGATAGGTGTGCATTGAAGTAGCCCAGGTAGTTTAAATTTCTGGAGTGCTAGACTACAATGCATCTCACAATCATGTAGTGGTTTGGGGACATAGAATGCTAACAATTGTTATCTAATTTGGTGTGCAGAGGGAATTAGTTATGCTTAGGATTGAAATCAGTATTGAGCTGCCTGATCCATTTTTATAACATTTGATAAGCTCTTATTGTAATCCCTAAATTCATTAATAAGACATAAGCTTGGGAAGATTTTTGCACGAGCATATCTGCAAGAGCCCATTCTGTGCTCTAAAACTGTAACGTTTATATTTTAGTATTCAAAATTTTTTGAAACATCCTATGCTTATCGTCTATCTAGAAAGTATAGAACAAAAATTATTATGAAATTTTGTATGGTGTGCCAGGAACCGAGGTCAAAGGAGGCAGAAGTGGGGAACATTACAGCACTCAGCAGCGTCTCAAGAAGTAAGTGCTAAAAACAGCGATTGTATCTTTTGTTCTGACATGGCACAAGGACAGCTTACAGTAACTGCACAAAAACTGAAAGCCGAGAAAAGTGAGCTCAGAACGGGGCTGGCTTTATTTTTCCTTGGAGTATATATTGCCACCAATGATGAACGAGCCACTGTGGCTCATACTCGTTTTGGACTGCGAAGAAGAAGAGAACATTTTCGTTGCTCAGGTTTAGGTGAACTCCAGGCTGTAGGTCTTGTTTTGCTCGTGACATTACTGGTGGATACGTTGGGTACGTGTACTTCGGCTGTGTCGGCCATCTTGGAGACAGCTACATCTCCCAGAGCAAGAAGCAGCTGCTGCCTGCGTGGGTTACCCCCTGAATTCGGTCCCTTGGCATTGACACCCAGAAAGATGGCAACTCCAATGACAAGCCAGGCGGTCCAAACCAGCGAATCCCATGGTTCTCTTTTCGCGCATGTTTTTCATGCACCACAGACACCAAAGCCGTTCCATGGAGACATCTTCGAAGATGTTGATGACTGGCTCGACCACTTTAATCGGGTTGCCAGTATCAACGAATGGGACGATGTTCGCAAGCTGTGCCGAGTTTACTTCTACTTGGAGGATGCTGCGAAGACGTGGTACGAGATTCACGAGGGCTATTTTGCAACCTGGCAAGAGTTTAGCCGATAGCTCCTTGACGCCTATCGCAACACCGAGAGAAAGGAGAGGGCTGAACAAGCCATATCCTGCAGAAACCAGCGGCCGAACGAATGAGTATCCATGTTTTTCGAGGACATGCTTCGGCTCTTCAAGCGCGCAGACCCTGCCATGCCAGAGGAAAACAAGGTGCGGCATTTGATGCGCGCAGTAAAAGAACAGCTTTTCGCTGGGCTCGTGCCAAATCTACCGGCAACAGTCGCCCAGTTCATCATTGAGGCAACTACGATGGAACGTACTCTGCAGCAGCGGTCGTCACTCTATGAATGCCAGATCCCGGCCACCACATGCTCTATCGGCTCTGACAACGAGAGACAGGCCCTCGCAGACTTCATTCGAAGTATCGTTCAGGACGAATGGCGACAGCTTCAGGCAGTGGGATCCCATCCACCTGTGTCAGCCCTTGCGGATGTAATCAGACAGGAAGTCTGGCAGGCCGTCACACCCCTGGCCCCAATCACACCACCGATTCCTGAGGCCCCAGTCCTGACATACGCAGCGGCATTGCGATCCCCTGCGCTACCGGCTACAGATCCTGCTATGCGGCCCAGGTACGAGGCTACGCAGTCATTCCACACCACTGCTTCGAGCCCGCCTCACGGCTCAAGGTTCCCGAGCACACCCACCTATCTGCAGTCTACCTGAAGACAAAGTGGTAGTAAGGCAAGCACGTGGCGCACCTCGGATAACCGTCCGCTCTGCTATCACTGCGGCGAAGCGGGTCACGTATACAGGAACTGTCAATACCGGCATTTAGGTCTCCGCGGCTTTCATCCTGATGCTCGATGCCCGCGCTACGGTGAGCGCCCCCGCGAAATTGAAGCCTATCTCACGGGCCAGCGAACACCTTCGACTGTTCAGCACCACCAGTCGAGATCACCATCGCCTCGCCGGCCTACGTCACTCAGTTTGCCCTCATCGTCTTCCGATCCTTTCAGGAGCCGTTCACCAAGTCCCCGCAGTGGAAACTAGGAACGGCGACTTCTTGGGGTGAAGTCGTGGCCCGGCAAATAGTAAAAGACCCTCCTTCGACGCAACGATTGGACGAGGACCATTCCGGTTTTGCAATGCTCTCCGACAGCAGAAAGATCGTTTCTGCCGAAATCGCCGTCTTCGCCGACAATCATGCTGTCAACGCCCTCGTTGACTCCGGTGCCGACTATTCCGTAATGAGCGCCACACTGGCATCTGAACTGAGGAAGGTTACCACACCGTGGCAAGGACACCAGTTGCGCACGGCAGGTGGCCATCTGGTGATGCCTACTGGTATGTGCAAGGCACACATTCGAATACGTACGACGACATTTGCGGGCTCTTTCCTCAGATTGCGCGTGTGTTCTTGGCCAGTCAATCTAGGAATGGACTTCCTTCGTGAATACGGCGCTGTCATCAACCTCTGTGAATTACTTGTGTTGTTTGAGGATCCTTTTTGCGCTGCAAATCACAGCACACAATTCAAGAAAACGGCGCTCTGTGTTACCGACGATTCTCTGACTCTCCCACCTCGAAGCAGCCTCTTAGTCAAAATAGAATTGGGACAGGACGTGTCTGACATGGTAATTGCAGAGGCCAATTTGTCTCTCCTGATTTCACGACAAATCTGTGTTGCCCGAGGAATCATTCAGCCTAGCAACAGGCATCTTCACCTGCTGGTCACGGACTTCAGCGATGAATATCGCCACCTAACGAGACACACTGCCATTGCATATTGTGAAGAACTTGCCGATGTCGATGGTTCGTCCACGTTAGCTTCATTTTCATCGAATGGCCACCTTGACGAGGCCTTCGCGAGCACTCTCGAGGTAAACAAGAAACTAACTTCGGCTCAATGAGAAAGTCTTTTGCATATACTCGGCTAATTTCAAGACTGCTTTGCCAATACGTCAAAGGTTTAACAGACACCACATGCTCAGCATCGTATCATCACGGAACCAACCGATAGACCCATTCGACAACATGCCTATAGGGTGTCGCAAAAAGAGCAAGACGCTATACGTTACCAAGTCCAGCAGATGCTTCAGGTTGACGTCATCCAGCCATCGACCAGTCCCTGGGCTTCGCCAGTTGTGCTAGTAAAGAAGAAGGACGGTACGTTGCATTTTTGCGTTGATTACCGTAAACTGAACAAGGTCACCAAAAAGGACGTCTATCCTCTACCCCGGATAGATGACTCGTTGGACTTTATATGCAACGCTAAATATTTTTCCTCCATGGATTTGCGTAGCAGCGACTGGCAAATCGTAGTGGATGAGCGCGACCACGAAAAGACGGCGTTCATTACTCCCGACAACTTGTACGAGTTTAAAGTGTTGCCTTTCGGTCTATGCTCAGCGCCAGCTATTTTCTAAAGAATGATGGATACGGTTCTCACGGGGCTCAAATGGCAATCATGTTTTGTTTACCTTGATGACGTCGTGGTCTTTGCAGACGCATTTGAACGACACGTCCAACGCCTTCAGGCAGTTCTTCAGGCAGTTCTTCAGGCAATCAGAACAGCGGGGCTTTCTCTCAAACCCGAGAAATGTCATTATGGATATGAAGAACTGAAGTTTTTTGGTCACGTCGTGATGAGCCATGCCGGCATTCGCCCAGATCTGGAGAAAACCCGCGCCGTTGTCGCCTTTCCTGTGCCCACAAATAAGCACGACCTACGCCGATTTCTGGGGCTTTGTGCATATTATAGGCGCTTTGTCAAAAACTTTTCGAACATTGCTGAACCCCTCAACAAGCTTACAAAAGACGGTGTCTCGTTTATTTGGGGTCCCGATCAGTGCCATGCATTGGACACCCTCTGGAACCTCCTCCAGGCTCTGCCTGTACTGGGTCATTTTGACGAAAGCGCCGACATGAAATTACACACTGACGCCAGTAACGTTGGACTGGGAGCGGTATTAGTTCATTGGCATAATGGGGTGGAGCGCGTGATCGCTTATGCGAGCAGAACGTTATCCCCAGCTGAGAAAAACTATTCTGCAACCGAAAAGGAATGCCTCGCTGTTGTCTAGGCCATAACAAAGTTCCGCTCTTACTTGTATGGCCGCCCATTCGTAGTAGTTAGCGACCACCATTCCCTTGGTTGGCTCGCAAATCTCAAAGATCCCTCAGGTCGTCTAGCATGATGGAGCCTTCGGATACAAGATTTCGATGTCACCATCGTTCACATATTTGGGCGGAAACACACCGACGCTGACTGTCTCTCATGTGCACCGGTCGAAAATGCCAACACTGACCTTGAAGACGACAACACTTTTCTTTCTGCCGTATCAGCAACCCGCTTGGCTGAGCAACAGCGTCATGACTCGGAGCTCATCCCTCTCATTGACTACCTGGAAGGACGCAATTCCCACCCTCCTCGAAGCTTTGCACGTTCACTATCCTCTTTTTGTTTCCG